TGTCGGATATTCGGGTAGGGTTTTCAGGGTTTAGAAAACTAAGACCCGTTCGGGTATTTAAAACTTCGGGTTCGGGTCGGGTTTGGATCGGGTATTTCGGGTTTGGATTCGTGGTTTACCCTGAAGTATCCAAATATTAAAATTTTTGTATCCGAATCTATGCAAAGTATTGAAAAATACTCAAAAAATCTATAAAACCCAAGTATTTTAACCCTGAATATAACCCAAAGTAGCTAAAAAACCCGAAAATATCTTAATATCTTAACATCCGAAAATATCTTACTGAACCAGTTCCAACATGATCACCAAAGTCAGTGAAAGAAACTGAAACCCTTTCATTAGGATTTTCAGCCACTTTACGCATCTTTGTTGGTCCTCTTTTTCTTCTTACTTTCACTCTTTCTTCTGGTACCTGACTTCCTTCATCAGTGTTGGTAGGAATCGCTTTATCTTGACCATTGCCAACACCATCTTCTTCCATATTGGCAACTTCTTCATTATTCGCAGCTACTTCCATAGTGGCAGCTTCTTCTTGATGATACTCCTGCTGGTCCTGTCCAGTCAAACAAGCTTCTTCTTCTATATTGGCAACTTCTTCTTCATCCTCCTCCTGGCCTTGTCCAGTCAAACATCCTTCTCCTTCATTCTCATCTTCACACATTGCTTTCTCAGTCTGATCAGCCTCCGGTGTTATATCTTTGTCATTACCCTTTTCTTCTTCCACAGCTTCTGGTGTTACATCTTCTACCTCATCATCTACAGCAGCCACTTTCGGTGTAACATCTTCTACCTCATCATCTACAGCAGCCACTTTCTTGGCTCTAGTACTACTTCTTCTCCGAGCCACTTTATTTGTTGTTTTCTTCTTATTCACCTTCTTATTAACCTTTAGTGTTGTTGCAGGAGCAACATCTTCTACCTCCAAGCCTTGATTACGCCTACTACGACGAGCACAAACTTGACCTCCTCCTCTTGTCTTTGCCATTTTCTGAAACTGATGAAGAACAATTTCAATCAACATAAAATCGAAACCAAAAATCATAATCAAAACCCAAACTTCGAATTAAAACCCAAAATCAAAATCGATTTCACAATTGAAACAATATATGTGCCAGACTTCGACATGCATGTTAACTAAGTGTAAGAATGAAAACCCAAAATCAAAATCGATTTTGAATTTGGAATTCAAAATCGATTTCACACAACCCCAAATCAAATTGGTTTTCCAGAGAACAAAGAAATTAAACGGCTCAGATCGAATGAGAACATACCTGTTCGAGATCGATAGAAACCGACTTAGATCGAGAGGGAGATGAGTTGAAGATTTTTTTTGTTCTCTGTTAGAGAAGTCGAGTGAAGTCGAGAGAAGAAGTTAGATTTTTTTTTTGCTTTAGGGAAAAAATGAAAAAGTTTTCTTTAATTTTGCCTTAGACAAAATTTCACAATTTTCCCTCTTAACATTTTCAATAGCGGGAAAGAGACTTTAGTAACCCGAAAATTGGCCGCGTGAATTGCATATATCCCGCTTCAATCATTTATAGCGTTTACAATTCAGAAAACGCTATCTATTAAGTAAAACATAGCAGAGACATAAAAAACGCTATCTTTTAGTGCTATCAATACCCACATTTCCTGTAGTGTTATAGTCGGAGTAGCACTGAGTCAGAGTATAGGAGTATGGCTCAAGCCACTTGTGAAATCATTTGGCTTCAACAGTTGCTCAAGGATCTTCATATCACAGTGAGTTGCCCTACAAAACTGTTTTGTGACAATAAATCAGCGTTGCACATTTCTATGAATCCGGTCTTTCACGAACGCACAAAGCATATAAAAATAGATTGTCACATTGTGAGAGATCAGATTAAAGCTGGCAACTTAAAGGCGTTGCACGTTCCTACAGAGAATCAACATGCAGATATTTTGACTAAAGCTCTGCATCCTGGTTTTTTTCATCATTTGCTTCAACAAATGTCATTGTCAAGTGTTTACCTTCCAAACCAGACAAGTTCGAAGATAAAGACTTGAGAGGGGCGTATTACAGATGATATATGGACCGGTTATTGAATGGTTAACTCTGGTTAACTACATCTTGGTTTAATGTATTCTTGGTTTAACTCTGGTTAAGCTTATTCTCATCATTAGTTTTAGTTTAAGCTTTGTAACAACATTTTATAATAATGAAGTTTGTTAAACGTTCGTTAAGCTCTCTTCTTCTTCAATCTTGATTCTCTGATGATGAGAATTCAATACAGCCCTAACTCAAATCTTGTTTGTGAGGCACCGCAGTCCCACTCGAGCCACCGAAGATTGTCGTGGTGTTCAAGAAGAGCCACCGTGTGGATAGTCTTCACCAAAGAGGTATCACCCGTGAGACAATTTTGGATTTGATTCTCTATTTTTGTTTTAGATTGTTGGACCAATCTAACTAGTGGCTTGGACCATCGTAGATCTGTGCCACTTCGCCGTTCGAGCCGTTAAGCAGATCGTAGAGGAGATCCGTTGAGAAAGCGCGAGAAAGGTAATAGGTCAAAACCTTATCTCGTGTCTGTTGTGTTGTTTGTGTGTTGTTGGATTATTGAGCCAAAGCCTAAACCGATCCAAACCAAAATTCTCTTGTGAAATCAAAGTCCATAACCGAAACTTGACTCATGAGTACGTGAACTGTGACGTCAAATGTTGTAGTAAGTCACGTAGAATTGAGTTATGGTTTAAGTTGAAGAAGACGATAGCTCTGTTCAATGTTTGGGTTATTAGATTGTTGGTTAATTACTAAACCGGAAATTAACTTGGTCACGTGAATGGATTTGGGTAGGCCTAGGCGTTCGGATATTCGGGTCGGGTTTTTCGGGTTTAGAAAACTAAGACCCGTTCGGGTATTTTAAAACTTCGGGTTCGGGTCGGGTTTGGATCGGGTATTTCGGGTTTGGATTCGGGTTTACCCGAAGTATCCAAATATTAAAATTTTTGTATCCGAATCTATGCAAAGTATTGAAAAATACTCAAAAAATCTATAAAACCCAAGTATTTTAACCCGAATATAACCCAAAGTAGCTAAAAAACCCGAAAATATCTTAATATCTTAACATCCGAAAATATCTTACTGAACCAGTTCCAACATGATCACCAAAGTCAGTGAAAGAAACTGAAACCCTTTCATTAGGATTTTCAGCCACTTTACGCATCTTTGTTGGTCCTCTTTTTCTTCTTACTTTCACTCTTTCTTCTGGTACCTGACTTCCTTCATCAGTGTTGGTAGGAATCGCTTTATCTTGACCATTGCCAACACCATCTTCTTCCATATTGGCAACTTCTTCATTATTCGCAGCTACT